ACCTCTTAGAGTGGTTCTGCTGACGCGGAAAAAGTAAGTCGTGGTTGGGAGTCCTCTTGAAGCCTTGCGAGTGGCCGACTGGGGAACATCTGTGACAGTTGATGGAGTGTAATATAAGGCAGGTGCAGAAAATCAAAACCCTCCACATTACGCAATCAACTGAGTGAAGAAATAATATACCTTTGAGAAGCTTCCAGGCCATACGCTGTGAAACATAATGAACCGCAAGCCTTTCCAGAACACGTCTCGTAGTAACTACACTTGTCTGACCATACAACTGAGGTTAGAATAATTCCTATAAGCATTCAGTGAACTCAATACAATACTTCCCTACTAAATTTCAAACATAAGCTAGCATGATTCTTGATTCTTGCTAGCTGAAAGGATTAGCAAAGTGAAAGCTGCTTCACGTGAAGTCACATTTCATATCAGAAAGTGGATTTTGCTACATAACATATTCTTTAATAATACTTGTGATTCAAAATATTAAAAAAATGCTTTACCAAGCATGAAAGAAAAGAGAAGGGTCCAACAATACATTTAAGGAGACAAGACCACAATTTCTAAGGTTATTATCTGCCTATAAGCACTTCTGTAGAAGAGCCGACAACAATAAAAGTTGTCTATAAAGAGGTTACCTCACGAAGTATTTGTTTCACTGATTTCTTAAACGGAACAACCAAATCCACTGGCTTCCCCTCGGGCTTAAGAAAATCGTCATCATCATCATCGTCCTCTTCCTTGAGTCCATGGGGCTCCACAAGTGGCAAATAAAACAATAGAAAGGACCTCAGTGATGTCAGCGCAAAAGTTTTCCAGTGGAAGGCAGACAAAAGAGGTTTCAACTGAATATCGTATTGCTTGGTGCTGTATATCAAAGCATCACTCTGAAATATGTTCCCAGATGCAGTCCGTATGTGGGAAATGTAATCTTCGCCTAAAGCTTCTGTGCCAGCATCACAGTACGCGACCCGTGGGACACCATTTCTGATACATAGCCATTTCAGTTTCATACAAGAATGCATCAATAACTTTCAGTTTCAGTTTCTTAAATAAGTTCCCAAGGCAGGAAAATATAACAAAGAAGCATCAATGGTAACAGTGGATAAATTCTGCTCATAATGGCGCTATTAAATGTTATTTTGTTCCAAAGTAAGGATATAGTTTATCGAAGCTCAATGGCATTAGAATCTAGTGAGTATCAACAAATGACAATTCAGATAGAACAGAACTAATGAATAATTTTACTAACAAGAACAAGTGTGTGAACTGCAAAATCTCCATTCAAAGAACAGAGTACAGATAGCCAACCACATAGGCTGTCCAAAGGCGATTATTGCATGAGTTAATTCCAAAGCACTCATTTTTAAAAGTGACCTCAAGCATAACCTCTCCATGCCCTTACCATAATCCACCCCCACTAGCCTGCACCACCAACGGGTTAGTTATAAAATATAACAAGGAATGGTAAAGTCTACACTTTCTCTAGTTCCCTCTCTATTTATCAATGTCTACGAATCCATGGCACTACCACAGCAACGAACCAGACATCACGAAACATGAAATCCAATTCCAATAGAATAAATAGGCGGAAAGATTCTTCCCCTTTTTTTCAAAAAAAACACTCCTAAGTTAAATGCTAACGACATTGAACTAAATTTCTCACATCGGAATATAAACCAACCACCGAATGCGAACGTTTAGGGAAATATAACAGTCAATGAAATAAGGATGAAACCAACATACACATACAAAGCAAAAACAAGAAAAGGAAGTTACCCGAACAAACCCCCGAAAGCAAAAGGGGTTGTAACGGCAAAAGAAGCAGCGGCAGCAGAGGTGGCTCCGGCCAGCTTCACGGGTAACAGACCACTCGAACTGAACGGTTGGCTACCAAAATTCGGGTTTCTTCTCAGTAGATCCAATATTGCTATGCCCGCCATTGCTCAGAAGCGCCGATATCGCTCAAAATCTCAAATCAGCGAGAAAAAATTGTGCTCAGGGATTAATACAATCATTAAAAAAAAAAAAAAAAAAAAAATCTAGTTAACTGATTGAATCAATCTCTGACCGGGAGATAAAATCTATCTAAAATTAATAAAGGACGGAGTTCGTGAAAATTATGAATAGAATACGTGGTTGGATCGAGGTTGGCTTGTGCTAGGGGAAAAGCAGCGAGGTTCAGACTACCTCCTTTGTTGTTTGTTAATTAATACACTTCAATACCCTAAATTAATTTTCGGACAATTCTTTCGTTTCAAATTCTCCTGAAAAAAATGACATCCCTTACTATTCTTTTACATTTTTTTAAATTTTACCGTCTGACTTAATATGTGAACAGATTTACCCCTTTTAAATTTCTATTATACCTTTTTTATTTAGTGAGTAAATGTATCGTGTCTTTTCATTTCTTTCTCATTAAGACTGTACAGTTAATACTTCTTTTTCTCTCATTATTATTTTTATTTATCTTTTTCTCAATGTTCAAACTTCTTTACACAAATTATTTCAATCTTCTCTCGTTCTTCTTTCTTGGAGATCGAATTTGAGCGGAGTCACCCTCATCGTCCGCCGTCGGAAATTCGAGCGGAGTCACCCTAATCGTCTGCAATCGGAAAACTCTACCGCCGCCCGGGGATTTAAATCTTCCACGCGCCGATTGCGACTGACCGAATTTTTTGGCGACTTCTCGGGACTACAGTGGGACTTTGGAATATGAACGGTCCATCGAGTTGTCCATGTGCAATCCAAGGACGACGAGCAGTCGCTTTTTGCTCTACCGCCTTTTGTATTACTCAGATCCCGACCGGCTATCGGTTACTGCCCGGTCTCTGTTTGCTATTGGTTTGTATTTCTGTCATCTGCTTACCTCTGAGCATATTTTTGTCTTGTTAGTTACCGTAGAAGTTCGTGTCTGGGAATTTCTATTTTTTTTTCTCCATTTCTTTTGTTGATAAGGTGTTTGATGAAATGTCTGTGTAATTTTGCAGAAAGAGTGAGAGCCTGCTGAACTTTTTGTAAAATGTATGCTCGAAAAGTGAGCGAGTTGGTGAAAGAATTCGCTAGTAGTGAACCTGGGCAACTTAGCACTTTCAATGTAAGTGAAACATTAATGTTTTTGCTTCTTGTTGGAATCAGTGATTTGTTGATCTTGCATAATGGTTGATTGGTTTCTAATACGGTTTATTTCTTTTAGATTTCACCTTTTTCAACAATAAAGACTCGATTTGAATGCTTCTTTTGTTTAACATTTTGTGGAGATTTATAGAAAATCATGTTGTGAGTGATGGTCAGTAATCACATAAAGTTACATAAGCTTTAATTAGTTTGCAAAAATTAGGATTTTGCGGGTCCCCGCAGGTTTTGTTACAAGTTTTAATATGTAGTTGAAACATTTTTTTTTTTTAATATGCAGTTGTAACCTTTAAGTGTGTATCTGTTGTTTTTTTTAATATGTAATTGTAATATTTTTATTTTTTTTTAAATTAGCCATTTAGATGATTAATTGTTTGGGGAGATAACAATAGTTGATTTTTGGCATTTTTTGTCATGTTGTTTTCATGTTGCTTGAGTGTTGTCATGTTATTGTTTTGTTGTTACATTGAAGTTTTTTCATGTAATTTCTTGTATGACTATAATTTTGTGTGTGTATATATTCTACTTCATTATTGTTATTATTGTTGTTGATTTAATTTAACAAATAGTTATATTGCTTTTAAGAAATTATTTTAATCTATGTATATAACGAATTGATTGTTAATTTTATGTTGTTTCTTATTTTTAGGCATTTATGTTTGCAAATGAAGAAGGAAGAAAGACAAAGAAATAAGAGAGAGAAAGAAGAAAGAGAAAGGAAAATGGAAAAAGAGATGTATGAAAAAGAAGAAAAGAAAAAGATGTAAAATATTTTTTTTGACCGTTGTAGCAGTTATTATTTTCACTTTGCTTAATTATGTCTAGTTTTGCGGTATTTGTGAAATTGTGTGTGACATTTTATTAATATGTAATATTTCCACTAAAGAAGGGTAGTTATAATATTTCCTCATTCTCCTGTCGCTTTTGTTACCATACAAACCAGATTTTTCACATTCTGCTAGACATGTCAAAACGGGCCGGTCGCCATCTCGGCGGGACTGTGAAATGTCAGCTCGGCCCAACCCCGCCACCGGCACTGCATTTTTTTTTTTTTTAAAAAAAACTTGGGAAC